TATGTATCTAGACATGGTATACGGAGGATGGTCAACATTAACGATATTGTTCTAGAATTTGAGCTAGGCGATGAGATGAATTCCACAATCATCACTGCACAACAAAGGCAATAGAGTAAGATGTGAATAAACATTTTGTTTTTGAAAAAAATTTAATTGTTATACCAACATAACTTACTTGTTCTCTTGCTTGAAGACCTATGGATAGAGTATGTCATTGCTATACTCCACCTCAGATAGTTTTGACTTCACCTTGAGCAAAATTGATCTGAAATGCTCTCTCTACAAAGGCAAATGGTCAGCCAATAAACACAAAAAGGTTGACAAATTCAAAAGCAAGTTGTCATAATTTAGAGCCTATAATATTTACTCCCATCACTATTTTATTTAGTCACATGTAAAAGTCTAATATACACAAGTGAACCATCATTATTATACAATAACTAATTCACTCTAAAACTTTCGTAGTTAAAATAGTTCAGCAACCTTTACCTCATATCAGTAGTAGAATCACAAATAAAATTTCAACTTCAACATCACATTACAGTTTGTACAACAAAAGATTCATCTCATATGCACCCTACTATTTCATGTAAAACTCCTATTAAATGCTTCTATTAAATGAACTACTATATGTTGAATGAGTAAAGATCACTTCTGTTGCCACTTCACTAGCAATTGATACGCAGTAATGACAAATTTTAAATTATTTCTACCCTTAAATTATTTCTATAGCAAAAACAGATGCTGCTCATTTCTACAGCAAGAACAATAAAAATCTCAACTCATTTCTACGGTAAGAACGTGAGAATCCTGAAAACCTCCAGCTGAGATCTTGAATAATCATAATCACTGTTGAAGATGGAGGGTTTTTGAAATTTACACATCTTGAGAGTTATTTCTCCTCATTAGAGCTCAGAAATATTCCCATCTTCCAGTTAAATACCCATTCTTACATTTGTCATCCTCTTTCTATGTTTAATTTCATTTCTTTTCATTAAAGGCAAAATAATATTTTTGATGTGAAGAAATATTGCAATTGAGGCCTTAAAGCCTGCAGAATAATTTCATATTGATTTAGATCCTAAGTGATATAAATTCTATTTTAAAGATTTTTAATGTCATTTTTCCTAGATTTTTTGGTTACTGAGAACCAAGAACACAAGTAAAAGAACGAGAGAATAGAAGGAGGAGAAAGAAAAAAGAAGGGGAGACGATAGTCAACTGAAGATAATGAATCAAGTTGAAAACAGGTTAAAAAAATGGAGAACATGATTATTCACCTTTTCTTCTCCGAGCAATGGCAAGAGGATAGAGGAGGTAATCGCTACACTAATGAAGAAAAAAAAAATGGTGGTAAAGCATATACAGTGAGACATGGAACAAAGATGACGACCCGATAGAGAGATAGAGGGAAAAGTGGAAACAAAAGGTGCACATGGAGGGAGGGGTATCTCCATTTTTTTCCCCCATTTTCTCAATCTTTATCATTCAAATTATTTTATTAAATAATTTTTTTAAATAATAAAATTAATGAATGATAGAAACAAGAGAAATGGAAGGAAAAAAAAAAATAGAGACTGCAGATCCGTGCACATGACCCTTGGAAAATAGTGAAGAATTTTAAATTTTAAAAAATTAGTCTGCGCCGAAACAGATGGTAGAGCCTATAATAAACGTGCGCATTGATATTGTAAGACTGTAGAGCATTAATGCTAAAAATTGAAAATCGTGATTAGATGAGTTACGATATAGTTAAGATTTGATAAAACCTATTTTTAATTAGATGAATGCGAATCACAAACGTTGGTGAAGGAATTTTTTACAAGATTTTAAAAACTGAATCAGTTATTAAATTGAGTAAATATTAAATATTTTTAATTTATCATTTGCTTATTACACCGGTTAGAGTCATCAATTAGGGCCGAACTTGTAGAACCAGTCCTTTTAAGCCTGAAAAAAATTAAGGACTGAGCTGTTATTTTGGTCTTCAAAAAGATAAATCAGGCTTATAAGAAGGCCCTTTTAAGTCCAAATATATTTTTTAAAAAAATAGCATGAAAAATAAATAAAAAGAAGACACCACATCATTCAAGCTCAACATTCACTCTCTAATCTAGACAGTAGACATGCACATTATTATTTGCTTACTTTGAATATTTCTGCATTCTTTAAATACCTTGAAATTATGATTTGGTTTATTATTTATTGCAAATAATGAGGATGAAGAAATAAGATATGAAAAGTTTAACATATTTGTCCTAGATGAGAATCCACAAGAAGAGGGATCAAATTATATTGATGTTGATGATGATAAAAATCATCAAAATTTAGATGATGATGCTACCAAGGTGTAATTGATGTTAGCGTTGATTTTGAGATGTTATTTTTTTATTAGACTTAAAATTTTTGTTGTGTGAATTAATTTTATTTTATTTTTCTAGATTTAATGTGATGTGTAATAACTTTGTTAAGATTTTAAATATATTTTTTAAATTTTTAAATTAAAAAAATTTAAAAAATAATTAGGGCCCTTTAGCCTTGAGAGCTAGGGCCGGGCTGCTTAAAATAGAGCCTTGAAATATAATCGGGCTTAAAAGGGTCAACCTATTTAGGCTCTGGCCCTGGCCTTAATTGACACCTCTAGATTCATGATTCATATGGTCTAATCGAGGTCGAACCGGTTGACATGAAATTAATATATTTTTATTTTATAGATATCATAATTAAATAAGAAATACATTTACATATGTATTTTTTTTCAAAACTATATTATAGATGCTTGGTAATATAATTTATTATTGATAAATACATAATTAATATTAATTATAAGTGAAGTTTTCATTTAAATATAAAAAAATATTGATAGAATGATAAAATATTAAACATTTTTTTGAAGGTATGTTTAAGCTAAATTAAAAAGATCAGATTTTAAAAAAACATAAATTATAGAATGCATAAAGATTAAAATGATGTGCCTACATTTAAAAAATCAAGATATATGCAAAAAAAAAAAATCAACCAAAATCAAAACAAAAAGAGAAAAAAAAAACAAAAAAGGGAGTATATTGTACGTGCATACTAGTTCCACATCGGTTCTGTGGCAAGGATAAAGAAGCACGTATATTTATAAAAAGGGGCAGAAGTAGGATTGTTATGGGAGAGGCTGAGCTTGTGTTTGCAAAAATTATAGCTCATGGTCCAATGTTTTTAGTATTCTAATTTTAATTCTGACTCTGATTCATTTTTTTTTATTTTTTTTATTTTATTCGGTTTTTCCATTGGAACTGATCTGATTTTTATCTGATTTTATCAGTTATTGACTGGTTTTACTGACCAATTTAGTTTGATTTTTAATTTAAAATCATTATTTTTTTGAAAGGCTTCTATTTAATTTATATAATAAAATTTTGTTATCTGAAATTCTACTCTTGATATTATTATTATCATTCTTATTTTGTGTAAAACTAAAATCACTAATCAATATATTATTAAAATATATTAATTTAATTATAGCCAGTTTAACTACAACTCAATGAAGGTCTGACTAATAAACCATAAACCAATGTCTTAATTAATTTAATAATCCATTTGATTTTTAAAACACTCTAATGATAATAATTTTATTAATTACCAATGACCACACAGTGTTTTATATAAAACTAAACTAAAGTGTATGTTTGGTTTTTCAATTTGTAAAAAATTTATTTGTTAAAAGTTCATTTGATAAAAGTCAATTATTATAAAAAAATTTATGTTTGAATACATTTTTTTAAAAATTAATTTAGTAAATTAAAAATTATTTGAATTATAATAATAAAATATATTTTTGAATGTACAATTATTAAAAAATATATTAATTTAAGATTATTTATAATTTTTATTATATAAATTTAGTATGTTTAAATTGTTTAAAAATATGATAAAATTTTAAATACCATAAAATTTAATATTTTAAATAATAAAAATAAAAAATATAAATTTTGATATATTAAAAAATTATATAATAAATAATTCAATATATAACAATACTGAAAATTAACATGATTGGAAAGATATATATAATAAATTTTTTTATTCAAAAAATAATTAACCAATTGGACAAACTGTTGGTCAATAAAAATTCTAAATAACATAAAAATTGATATATTAATTAATAACATTATAAAATATAAAATTTAGTATATTGGATAAAAATTATATATAAATAATTGAATATGCATCAATGTTAAAAATCAACAAGATTAATTATTTAATCTATAATGCTAAAAATTTAATCTCTAATAATAATATTATTTAAATGATAATTATATTTTTAATAAATTAATAATATGTTTTAAATAAAGGAAGAATTACAATTAGGTCTCACATAGAAAAATTAATTATTGTAAGATCCATTAACAACTGAACTAAACTTTATTGATAACCGGTTGTGTTGTCAATGTAGTTTAATTCATTTATCAATGGATCTTATAATAATTAATTTCTTTATGTGGGACTTCAATGAAATTTTCCTTTAAATAAAAGAATAACATATTAAAGGGATAGTATTATCAAATAATACTTCAAATCCACTTTTAAAATTTTATCTCAAGTTATTTTTACAAATTCACATTTAAATCACTTTACTAAATACTCTCTTTAATTTTATTTATAAATCACATTTTAAAAAATTTATTTAATTTTATTTATAAATTATAGTATAATTTTTAAGTAATATTTAAAATATATTTTTAGAATTATCCTTCATTAACAAGAAAAAAAATATCATGACATAATTTTTTATATTTATTATATAAGAGTATAGTTAAAATGTTATACACTTTTATTTTTTATATTTTTTTACATTAATATTAACAAGGTTAATAAAAATAATTTATAAAAAAATATTATTTAAAAGCATATTTTTTTAATCGTTTGATATTCAAATAACTTTTTTCATATGTTAGAAAGTGCTTTCTAAATATGAAAGGTATTTACCCAAACACACCTCAAGGAATTTGCTTTTGGCATTTGTCTATCATTGTGGAGAGGTAATTCTCCAAACAACGGCGCATTTTCTGAGAGCTCGAATCGCGAATGGATTCGCTAGATGGTGGTAGCTACTGGGATTTCATCGATTACAGCTTGATCGACGATACACCGGCGCCCACCGATTTTCTTTGGTCCAATCAGAGTCAGAGGTTTTTCGATTTTATTTTCTGATTTAATCCTACTTACATCTCCTGGCTTTCAAATTTCTTCGATTTTATTCACTTTAGATTCTTACGCCCCTTCGTCTGAAATTCTATTCCATCTAAATCTCTCGCAAGTTGTGCGTGATGAGGATTCAATATAAAGGGACTGAACTTGTCAGGCTTTGATTTCGTACTCGTCGAAACAGCCGGCGGGATCTCCCTCCCTCCCTTTTCAATTCCCTTTATTAATTAATCACTAATTCACTATGGTTGTTGTGGAAGGTCAAGTTGATTCTATGTTATTTTTAATCTCCTTCTTGCTTTAGTTAGGGGATGGTATGAATGTCTGACACTACTCTGTTTCCATTTGTCAGCGTGAGCTCTGAAATTGACTTTTCAGGTGGTGCTATTGTTCCTCAAGAGAACGCCCGGAAGAGGTATCTTGTCTGTTACAATGTTAGTGGCAAAATTGTACTCTTATGACTTTTTTGTTAGTTGGATTTCGTTAAAATTTCATTTTTATGTAAAGAAGATTAAATTAATTTTGGAGGAAGGAAGGGGAAAGGCTAGTTTTAGTTCAAGCAATCAATTTATTTCTTTCATTTCAAACTTGTAAACTTTCGAGTCTTGTCTTTGGTTATAGTTGATGGAATGTATTAAGCATTTCCATGGGTGTTTTACATGCTGAGAATCCTGAATGGTGATTTCGGGCACAACTGTGGTATTAATTGTGTAGTGGACTATATGATATGTATTGCCGAGTTTGCTGCTAAGATGCAATCGATTTGTGACCTACTTTCTTGAATACAAGGCAGAACTATTTTTCTAGGAAAGGGGTTGAAATTTCAAAATATGATTGGTTCGGTATCATCTATGTTCTAATGTCTCTGTTTTATTTCGTCAAGGAGAAAGTCTAAATTTTGAATCATAAATAATTGCGATCCTTGATTTTGCAATTTCTGACCTTATTGGATTGCTGTTTTCATCTAATAGGTGGATTGGTTTATCGCCCCTTTCTTTTGTTCAAATTTAGACGCTTTGATGCTATCTTTTGAAATGTTCACTTATTTGTCTGTTGTGATTAATTTCTGGATGATGGTTTGTAGAGGACGCCCCAATTTATGTAGCAATCCAGGTACAAAAGCTTGTCGTGAGAAAATGCGGAGGGAGAAACTGAATGACAGGCATGCATTCTTTCAAAATTCAAATGTTGAATTAAAGATCTTTCATGAGCCACATTTTCTGCTTTTATTGTGATATACATTGCTTTGCAACATTTGCATAACAAAAACTTACGTATCTGTGGTTCCATGTTAATACCTTCTGTTTTGCTTTGCAGATTTTGTGACTTGAACTCTGTTTTGGAGCCTGGGAGACCTGTGAGGACTGATAAATCAGCTATACTTGATGACACCATCAGAATCTTGAATCAACTAAAAAATGAAGCTCAGGAACTCAAAGAAACAAATGAGAAGTTGCTAGAGGAAATAAAATTGTTGAAGGTTAGCAGTGTTTGAAGCATTAATATTTAATTTTTTTGATCCTACAGCTCGTTGTTCTTAGAAAAAAAAAAAATCGTATCCTTTTGAATTAAATATCTTTGAATTTGTATTTTACTCACCTTTTTCCATTTAAACTCTTAATGAATGGACTTCGAGAGGAATTATTTTGTTGCCTTTGTTATGGCAGTGCCTGAAGCTTCATCTTTGAAATAATGTTTTCTTTAATAATTCTTTCTGACGAGGACAACTTAGAGGAATCTGAGCAGTTTGTTAAGAAAAAATGGTCCCGTCATTTGTGTTTGGTACCGTATTGCTCAATATGTTGTAGTTTTCAAATTCCAGATTGATAAATCTCGTCTTCTCTGATAGGCAGAGAAAAATGAACTTCGTGAAGAAAAACTTGTTCTGAAAGCTGATAAAGAAAGGGTTGAAACGCAGTTAAAAGCACTGCCCGTTTCACCTGCAGGATTTATTCCTCCACATGCTGCTGCTTATCAAACCGGGGTCAACAAAATGGCTGTTTTCCCAAGCTATGGTTATTACCCAATGTGGCAATATCTGCCTGTTTCTGCTCGAGATACATCGCAGGATCATGAACTCAGGCCTCCAGCTGCTTAGTGACTGGTTGTTCATATAGCCCCTTCGATAATGTTATGAAGGGCCAAAGAGGGAAGGGCAGGGGGCTTGCGCATGTAAATATTTTGATCTTTGAGTAGTTTTCTGGAATTTTAACTTCAGCTAAACGTTACGCTGAAGTAGGCTAATATATTGTTTGAACGCAGTAACATGAACTGTTACATTATTTACATTCCAAATTACAATATATTGATCACATATTCTTCATAGTTCCTACTAATTTTTGTTTCTGATAATTTTATTTGAGTTACAAATGGAAGCTTTGAAGAATCCAGGGTTCTTCTATTCATTAAAGTTTGATTTTGATGAAAAGTATTACTGAGAAAACGAGAATAAATCTTAGGCATTATGACATCTAATCTTTTCTTTTCCCGCTCGAGTTTATTCTTATCAATTTTTCTTCACTTTCTGCATGTTAATGTTTGCACGTCCATGATTAATTTGGCAAAGGGAGAATAATGATCAATCACTGCGCTGCACTTGTTCTTTTGAATTGACGTGGTCAAAATTGTAGTACTTATGACGTTGAATTAGCTTTTGTCTGAGCGTGAGAATTTGAGAATGCTAATCCATTTAGTTCTCATTTCACAGTCGTAGAAGGGTACAGAAAAATGAGACTCAGTCACAGTTCTGTTTTCCTTTTCCCCCCTCCACAGCGGATGTTATTGAAGGGGATCTAAGCTCTCTATGTAATCAAGTTGAGGATTGAGAGAACAGGCGTAAGAAAATTCCCATCAGAGAATTCACTATGCTGCTTTTATATTTGATATCATTCCCTCACTGTTTACGCACTACAGTGAGGCGTTTCGTCCTTTTTGACAAGATTAAGAACACACACTAAAAATGCTACTTAAAGAATTTGAATATGGCTGAATCCAAGCTGAAGGGGTTATACTGTGCTCTTATGTAGATCATTAGAAGTGCACTGCATTTGCTCTTTTGTGTTGATATGAATGTCTCGATCACCTTCTTCACCCCACAACAGCAAGCACAGTAATGGAACCGGTGATCACAATAATTGAGCTTATCATGCTGAATTAACCACATCTTACGAGTAAGCAAATTTCCAAGAACTGATTTATTTTTTGCATAAAGCGAAGATGTTCATCTGTTTATCAAAGGCAAATAGAATACCTTAATCGTAACAGTACCTATAAAAATGTTTTTAGGTGTATGTTGGAGCAAGACAAGCAACAAAAGTTTGAAGTGAGTCGAAGCTGATATTAGATGGATTGCTGCCCACAAACATGGATGGGTAATTAACCTGCATTATCATGAACCAGATGCTATATATGCAGCTCGCAATTGCTCGGACTATAGGGAGGGAACCCTTTAACCAATCCTCATGGATAGCACCACTTTATTTTCTGTACGTGGATTAAAGGGTTAGATACACGAAAGGATTCAAGCCACGATTGAAAGAAAGCCTAAGTGACGAAATCCAAAAGAAGGTATAGCTCACCTGAGCTATGATCATGATCAGCAGCTGTGGCTTGAACTTGTTCCGTTATTGATCTCTGTGATCGAGTCTGAAGACTTCCCTATTTCATTCTTTTCCACAACCTACCTTGAGAAGCTAAGAGTGGGTATGAATTTATAGAAGTTTATGGTATATATCCTGCGCTCTAGAAAATTTCTAGTACGGTATGCACTAGAAATTTCTGGACACGACAGTGCAAGGAATTTTTGTTTTTAAAGATTTTAATGGTTGAAGATCACCAACCCATAACTGTACAATCAAATCTAGATTGTCTCATGGCTTATCTTGTTTAAATCCTGGACCAATGTTTATATTTATCTGGTGAATCCTGAGGAACATAATTGATGCATACAAATATGCAATGGATTCTATAAGTGTACAAGTTAATATGCAGTATGTTAATGTGTCAAGATTAATCCCATGAAGAATCAAGTAAAACAACGGCTAGACAATAAATTTCTCAAGTTGAGTGAAGCAAAATTTAGATTTGAAATTGTAAAATAAAAATTGAAGTTTTATAAATGTACTAAAATTAAATTTCCAACCATTACAAATAATTAAGGCAACTCAAAGTAGCCAATCCCTTCTTCAATTCATAGAGCATGTAATTATTCAAATAAATTCACTTAATATTAATTTGTTAATCTAGAGTATTAATAGGAATAATTATTTTTTAATTAATTACACCCCTCTCTTGAATTAATATGTTATTCCTAACACAAATACCCAAAAGATAAAATGGCACAAACTCACTCTAATGTGATTATATTGGTCCAATTGATATATTCCTATCCTATTGGCAAATTGAAAATAATTCTAATCCCACAATACTCGTTCTAATAGTCTAATTCAAATTTTTCTCTTCTAAGGCAAAACTCAAACCCCCAAATTCATACTCAATGTTGCCTAAGAGCAAAGTAGACAAATAAGCACAATACTAAGTAAATAAAATTAATATTAAGCTTAAATAAATGGTTTAAACATGTTCTAATTCAAGAACCAGTTCATAGCTACCCTAAATTAAGAGAAAATCAGCTACACATGGCTCTAATGACAATAAAAATTAGTAAAGAGAAGAAAGAGAAGAAAAGCTTAATTGAAACAATCTTGAGGGAAGCTTTTATTTTTCACTAAACCCAAACTTTTTCAACCTTCCTTTAGCTATTTTTCCTCTCCTTGAATATTCTGTAGCTCTTGAAAGTCAGGAATGATCGAAAATGAGATCTCCAACCCCTAAAAGTTCACTGAAAATTAAAATTATGCATTTTATTAAAATTTTACTTCATTGTAGCGAACATGACTTATGTAAATTTTTCTTTCAAATTTACTTCTTTAGATTTGGGCTTTGAAATTTTCACCTTGAATCTATAAATTGAGCCTTCCTACACGTATACAACCCAAAAGTAATGTCCACTAATATTAAATTACATTTTCATGCTCATTTTCACACATAATCATCCACTCAGTATTATTTTTACTAATGAATTCAAATAAATTATTTTCAATTATATTAAAAACATCAATAAATTCATCAACAATATGAGATCAGAATCAGATGATGTGGAGACAACTTGCTTGTTCGCCCTCTGAATTCTTCTAGTGCTTTGGGAATTAGTTTTCCAAAGACAAGCACCATCCTCGCATTTTCTTTCCCACTACATCTATGAATACTCCATCATTAAACCTTTGAGTATGTGCGTTCTCTCAACCATTAATACTCTGTTGCACCAAAAGTATTGTTCTTTCTAATGCAGGATACTGTGCAGGAGATGTTATTTCAGAAAGACACATATATGGTGGAATTTATGTTTGGGCCCCATGAACAGAAAGGAATATATTGTAGTAACTTTAACTTGCTGCCAGCTGATTGCACTTTCATTTGTGGGGTCCCCGTGGGTGGGTGTAGATCAGCATTTGAATCACAAGGATAATTTAAAATAGTAGAGTACTAGAGCATGTGTGTGTGTGTGTGTGGTTGGTGTGGATGATCCTGACTTCCCTTACCACCAGTAACGACCACAATGAGCCATTATTAAGACAAGGCTTGGTGGATGGTGGTGCTGGTGACTAAAATATTTACACCAAAGTGACGAGATGTTTTCTTCTGAACAAATCACTGACAATCAGTTTGAAAGATCCATTAACGCAGAATATCTTCTTCTTCTTCTTCTTGTTTTTGGTTTTTTCAGGAGAAGTTTCGAACTGTATTTAGCACAGCTAGCGTCTTATGTCTTGCCGGAGAATGCTCGAGAAATTAACTCTAGCCTCTCTCTCTCTCTCTCTCTATCTATCTATATATATATATATATTGCAATAATTTAAAATAGTTGCATACCTATAATTAATCTTTTTTTGAACCTAACTCCATCTCACAAACAAAAATTGCAAGCACACATGCACACGCTATTAGTATAAATTGATTAAACTCATAAATTTCACCTTATCTTGGTGATTTTTTTGCCCGACAGCTAGTTCACACATTTTTAAAAGGATCAAGTGTATAACTACTGAAATGGAACTAGCTTTAAAAAAACATTGTTTGAAGTTTGAACAATGTGATTTTGAGTTTAAATGTGTTGTGGGCAAATTCAGGTCGTGAATTAACGGTCATGCGAGTTCAGAGTTCTCACTCATTAAATGTAAAAGAATTTTCTAATTAAAGATCTACTTTTATCCGTTATAAAAAATTAAGCGACTAAGTTAAAAGATTTTATTATCATAAGCTAAAAACAGCCATTGTGAAGGCTTCTTATTTAAAACTTGTTTTAAAAGTGATCCAAAATAATTTAAAAATTATATATAAAAATCATTTTTAAAACCCTTATAAATAGAAGGAGGTAAAATTTAATTTGAACAATATTAACAAAACAAGAGTTTTGCCAACGAGCTCTAACTCAAATGGGATAATCTTCGCCCTTAATGCATGACAGGGATTCTGAAATGAATTCTCAAGTGACTCAAAAAAAAAAAAAGAATTAAAAATTGTCACGTGTATGAAGTTTAGAGTGAGAAGAATAGAATAAGAATATAGCCTGAAGTATAATCCGATTCATTCCATCTTTTGATTACATCTCAATTGTATTTATGAGTTAAACACATTGTTAACTAAACTATTGAGCAACTGACTCTATTGCAACAGGGCTAATAGACTAGTCTAACAGACTTAACCAAACATGTGGGCTTGATTATAGGACTTAATACAATGGGTCTAAGCATACACTATAATAATGTATGCATTGGCTTTGAATAGAGCTGTCAATTAGAGTCAATTCTTAAAAGATCAAAGCCTAAACGAGTTAGTCCTATAAAGCTTAATTTCACTTTAGCATTCCATTGTGGCTGACCAGATCCGAGCCTGCAAGGCCTCGACCCTATATATATATATATATATATTTCATTTTTCAATTTAAAATTTTAAAAAATATATTTAAAATCTTAAAAAGTTATTACACGTAACATTAAGTCTAGCATGATATATTTAAGACAATACACACAATAATAAATTTAAATTTAATCAAAAGTAGCAACATCACAAAATCGACATCAAATTAAACTTTACTTACATCATCAGCTAAAGCTTGATGATTTTCATTATCATCAACATTAATATAATTTGACCCTTCTCCTTGTGGAGTCTTATTAGTTATTACACATAACATTTAATTTTAAAGTTTTTATTTTTATATTAAATATATATATATATATATGAGTTTAAAAGGGTCGGCTTTTTTATTTTATGGCTTAAAAGGATCAACTCTTTTACATTTAATTTATCATTTTATAGTTTACAGAAGAGGGCCGGCCTTAAATGTTTTTGGGCTTAAAATTGATGGCTCCAGCTATGAGAATAACTTGGTAAACCAAAAAAAGAAATAAAAGTGTCGTGTGCAGCTATGAGTGGTGCGTGTGTGGAATCCCATTCCTCGTGAAGAAGGATTGGATAGCATTAAAAAACAAAACAAAACAGAAGTTTAAAATATGAATGAGAATTAGAATTTATTTTTTATCTTTAATAATGATATGGAGCAGGGACCCACGTAAAAAAGCATGGATTCACGGGGACGTAATTGGTGTGAATGGGAACATACCTACAATACCACCACAATGTGTCATTATTGGCTAATGGTTTCTTTTTATACTTATTAATTAATAAAAACAACAAATAACTTCATCAGTCGCTTGCGTTTGCTGGGGCCTCATGTTGCCACTGTCAAACGCAAAAACTCCTGTGAGATGATTATCACCTTTTTTCCAAAAAAAAAAAAAGCAATCAATCAGTGGGCAATTGATATAGGGTCCAATATATGAAATAAATTAAAAGGTTTCATTTTGTGGAGAATCTTTCGTCCTTATTTTGAGCAGTACTGATTCGTCGGGGTAATCCTACTGGTAAATTAAAGCCACTATCTTTCATCAAAACAAACATACACGCTTATTATTTCTCAGTACTCTCATTTCCAGTCATTCTCCTTGTAATCTGACCACCACATGCAATTCTAATCATGTATCATAGATCTTAAGGCAATTCATCGGTTCCGGTCGCGTTCTTCTTTTGGGTCTTCTGGGTATCATCTGAAGTGCACTTGATTGGCTCTTTTGTACTGTCGATGCCACCCTCTTGCTCTTCTTCTTTACCCCAGATCAGCAAGTACAGACCAATCACCACTACAATTGCCCCTACAATGCTGAATTAAACACATATATTACATTCACTCATCAAATTAATGTGCATGCTTTTGTCTTCTTCAATGAGAATATTCTATTATATCTATACCAGCCCGGATGAGGAAAAAAGATATATTCCAGACATGTTGTATCGTTACAAAACAGAAAGCTAGAAAGAAAAGTAAAGATGAAGAAAGGGTTATATTCTATTATATACCAGCCCAGATGAAGTCTGTCGCCGACGACGAAGTATGAAAGAACAGCCACTAAAACTGTTAGAAGAGGGTTAAACATGGTGACAAAAACTGGGCCTTTTTCTTCTGTGCACCACAGTTGAATGAAAACTAACAAACCCGACGCCACTACTCCCTGCCAAATCAATTAATATTAACTTGTCAGTCACTAGAATTTCAGATTTTGTACCCTCGTATACTAATACTATATTTTACTCTCTTCGTTCGGTATATACTTACGCCATATATTATGGACCACAAGTCAATATTGAACCCTATAGTCCATGCCGACTTGCTGCGTTCTACTATCACTGTGAACATTGCTGATTGGGCTCCTCCAACGAGGCACATCCACGTGGTCAATGACAATTGTGCAGGGTATCTTTTCAAGGTATATGCCTGTATATGCATTGGCTCAGTAAGGGCATAGGTGTTTGGAAGTTCTGAAAGTTTACACTTGAACCGAGTAATGATGGGAAAATGAAAAACTAACCTGCATAATGTACCAGATGGCCCATGCCATACAGCTTGCAATTACAAGGAACGATCCCTTGAACCACTCCTGATGGATATGATCATGTTTATGAATATGAATCAGAGGAGGCCATACATTTCTTATTATAGGCCCTCTGTATAGTGTCACGATCATCACTCCACCAAAAGAGACCACAGTCCCAACTACTTTTGCTATGCTGCGAGGATTCCGCAGGTTAATGACCTCAACCCTGCAATTAATAATTCATACAGTAAGCCAAGAATGAAATGTAATTGCATATCTATGGTATGAGGGGAAATTCCAAATTTATGTAAATCAAGAAGCATCGGAATTACCTGAGTATCACTGCAATAACGAAGGTAATGGAAGCTATGGTGTTGTATAATGCAGTCACAAAGGTTGGACTGGTGTATTTTAGGCCAGCAAAGTACATGTTTAGGCTCAGACTTAACCTGAAATTCTTACCCAAGACAGTTTCATTAACTTTCTATATATAGCTATTGTTTCCAATGAATGTAGAAATATATGAATAATAATATTTCTGTCTGATCTTCATCATGGCCTTACCCCAACAAAGAAAGCACAAAAATTTCCAAGAAAAGAGCCATTGTCAACTTCGGTCTAATTTTTCTGCAAGAGAAAGAAAAAGTTAACTTCGCGAGAGATAGATACATATACAATTGCGTCTATATGGTCACAAGCCTATATCAGAAAGGAGATTGAAGAAACATAACTAGTGAAAATCGAAGCAGATGTCTACCTTTCAAGAAAGTATGCAAAAGGTAACAGGACGAGGCCAGCCAAAATATTCCGATAGGTGACGTACACGTAAGGATTCAGGCCATGATTGAAGGAAGCCTCTGCGATGAAATACAAGAAGGAATAACCCAATTGAACCAAGATCATCAACAGGTGTGGCTTGAACTTGCACCGCACACCCCCAAGACCACATCTTTTTTGCTCCATTAACTAATGTCAGTGCTCAAGACTACTATCCCTCAGACGCAAACTCACGCTATCACCTCACAGGCTCTCAAGAAGCATATATAAGCACACTAAGCGGGATACACATACATACATACATACATATATATATATCCTGTCTTTGCATTCTGAGAGCCAATACTCGGAATAATATAATAATATAATCTTTTGCACCTAATTATAAACGACATAAATGCCTGACAATTCTTGATAATATTTGAAAAACTTTGGCTGTCCCACATGCATGCTGGCCTTGGCCGATTGATTCTTCTGGTCTACCCTCCTAGAATAACACTATTAAGCTCTAGGTTCTTCGTGTTAATTTCTACACCTTTCGCTGGTTACTTGTGCGCTGTGACTAAGATAATTGATTCGTGCAGGGATGGACCTACTTGGTCTAGAGTTTGACCCCACCAAAATTTTTCTTTTCTTTTAATATTAAGGGTGTGATGTATATTTATTACTTCTAATATTCAATATTATTGTAAATGCCCCATAAAACATAAGTGTATATATTATTTCCCCCACAATCTTGAATTTTGGGGTTTGTCTCTGAATTTATGTAATAAAATTTAATAAAAATTAGAATAAAATACTCCGACAACCCTTTTAATTTGTCTTAATTGCACAGATCTCTCTTTTATTTTGAAAATATACAGTTTAGTCTAATCCATTAACTCCATTAGGAATATTATAAAAACATTCTAAAAACTTATTTTTTAATTAAAATTGACATACTTTTTATTTACTAATTTACCCCTCACTCTAATAAATCCCTAAATTATTTCTAAAAACTTATTTTTAATTAAATTTTATATTTTAAAAAATTATTTTCTAATTTGCCCCTCATTCTAATAAATCCTTAAATTGCATTATTATTTTTACAAATACATGAATTTCATTCATTTAAAAAAAGGAAAAGAATTGAATAGTTTTCTTTTCTTCCTTTTATTTTTTTTCTTTTTGCAAATAGTATTTGCTTAATTTTTTTTAATCAAATTAAGACAAAAGCTTAAGCAATTTTTCAATTGAAGTAGACATCCTGACATAACTTGATTGAAATTTTTATTAATTTTTTAAATATAAGTTTAAATAAATGTTTGTAAAAAAACATGTTTACAAATTTTAAATTATAAATTTAAATTCTTTATATAATTCCTCAAACTTAAGTAGTTTTATATTACTCATATGATAAAAATATATGTTTGGAATATCTTTCTGGCAATTAAAAGAAACGTAAATTAATAAATTCCAATAAATTTAATAAAAATTTAAATTATGAAATTTTATAATATAAGAAAAGTTGATAAAGTTTACAACATAATAAAAATTTGAAAATTTATTTATTAGAACTTTTTGGTTGTATAAAAAAATAATTTTTAGAAAATATAAACATTTAAATAATTGTATTGTCAAAGAGGGGTGTTTTGGTTAAAATAAAAGTTTAAAAGTCAAACTTAACAGTCAACTAATAATTAGATGAATGAAAATAAAATCTCAAATATATAAGATTTATGCAATGTGTGTGTGTATTAATGTCAAGAGAGGTTTATATAAGTTTTCAAAATAGAAGTAAGGTTCATGTAATTTAAATAAAATAGAAAGACAGCTACTGTATTTTACTCTAAATATTTAGATGCCATATAATTAAGGAGAATTGGTGGCCAAAAAAGAAAAGATATCATAAGAAGAATTTAAATGCAACACTCAAAGAATTTCCCTCCATTTTCAGGTCAAAAAAAAAAAAAAACGGATTTCCCGCCATACATGACATCCAATAGAGTTTGTCTTTCGATTTCTTCCGGCGGAAAAAATTAAAGTTCTCTTCAACAACTATTGTTAATTGTAGAAGCCGGTATTCGAATAAAGTAATTATAAAGCGATACTGGCCCTTAGTGGAACTCTAAGCGTTATTTATGGTTGTGTATCAAAAAGCCATATGGAATACTATTGTCCACCAATTAATTAATTAAATTAATTAAAATTAATTATTAATTAACATATTGTTGTTTATTTGAAGTAGTCATTTTATATTATTTTGGAGAAAAAATTTGCAATTAACGTGTTATATATAATTTAAATACGACAATGATAATGCTTTCTTTGTTTATTTCATGTTCCATATATAAAGTTCTCTTTTTATTTGCTATTGACTTATATTCAAAATTAATGCATCTTTCACTCTTACACCTCATTTCTATATAATTCTCGTTATATATACCATGTACTTTCCAATAGCTTTTCTGAATTGAAAAAAAAAAGTTAAATCAATTAGTTGGGGAGTTGTTAATGGGAACAAAATATATGGAAGAAATTTAAGTGTTTCATTTTATGGAGAATCTTGGATTTTTATTCTGTGAAGTTCTAGGATATACATACGCTTTATTCTCAACCCTTTCACTTCCAATTCATTCTTAGCGTAATTTGACCAGCATAGAATTCTACAAGGAACCATGCGTTTCATGTAAGATCACTGTTCTATACACTGAAAATCAAATTAAATTTTCCTTGGAATGCTTTAGCTTTCTGGATTTCTAAACTTATTAAACAACCCCTTCCTGCTTTTGGGGATCATTAGAAGTGCAATTGAATCGCTGTTTTGTACTGTTGATATCACCCTCTTGCTCTTCTTCTTTGCCCCAAATCAGCAAGTACAGACCAATCACCACCACGATTGCCCCTACGATGCTGAATTAAACATATATCATCCTCATTAAACTTCACAAAAATAGGAAAATAATGTAATGATGATAAATTAATCTATATGTATATGAGCATCTCTGGTTAAGTTTCTCCTCTTGTTTAATAATTTGTCCACAAAATCTTCTGATGATGAACTGTAGAATTATTGAGAGACAATTCTACCCAGATTTTAAAGAGAGTTAAAAATTTGACCGTTCTTCTCTATCCTTACACCATACTCTGGAATTAGTTGAAGAATTTTACATGTGCGTGATTTTGTATGCTTAAATGAGAAGATTTGGATGGCAGAAAATCTGTGATCATCCATGCATATGTTTGTATGTGTTTTCTTCGTCATCTAATTGAAAAGACTTAAAGGGTGAATTAATCTATGGCTAATTCAATCCGTCGGTAGTTCTACTGCTTTTAATTAGAGAAAGTACAGAAACATTCATGTTCATATTAACGGGAAAGACGAAGCAAGGGTTATATCCGAATATATACCAGCCCAGATGAAGTTTATCGCCGACAACGAAGTATGAAAGAACAGCCACTAAAACTGTAAGAAGGGGGTTGAACATAGTGACAAAAACTGGGCCCTTTTCTTTTGTGCACCACAGTTGAACGAAAATAAACAAACCCGAGGCCACAATTCCCTGCCATAGAAATAAAATAGGAAATAGTATTAACTACCAGACACTAGAATTTCAGATTCTGCACTCTCGTATGTTATATTACTTCCCTTTGCCTGTACACTTACGCTATATGCTATGGACAACAAGTCAATATCGAAGCCTATTGTCCACGCCGATAAGTTAGGTTCCACTATCACTGTAAAAACTGCTGATTGCGCTCCTCCAACAAGGCACATCCACGTAGTCAATGACAATTCTGCAGGGTATCTTTTCAAGCTATATGCCTATATATTCATTGTCTCAGTAAGAGAAAAAAGATATTGTAGATGGGTTTGGAAGTATATGTATAAAACTAGCGGAAAGCGCATGTGTTTGAAAGTTCTGAAAGTTTATAGTTGAATTGAGAAGTGATGGGAAAATGAAAAAATAACCTGCATAATGTACCAGAGAGCCCATGATATACAGCTCGCAATTGCAAGGAGCGATCCCTTGAACCACTCCTCATGGATATGATCATTTTTATGAATATGAATCAGAGGGGGCCATACATCTCTTATTATAGGCCCTCTGTATAGTGTCACGACCATTACCCCTCCCAAAGAGACCAGAGTCCCAACCACTTTTGCTATACTTCGAGGATTGCGCAGATTAACAACCTCAACCCTGCCATTAAATCATGCAAGTTAAGAATTAATGAACATGCATGCATAGCATGCATATCTAAATTCATGTGAATCAAGAAGCTTAAGGATTACCTGAGTATCACCGCAATAATGAAGGTAATGGATGATAGGGTGTTATATAATACAGTCGCAAAGGTTGGATTGGTGTATTTCAGGCTAGCAAAGTACATGTTCAGACTCAAACTCATCCTGAAATTCTTGGAAGATAAAAAAAGTTCATTGAGTTTCAATATTTATATATTGTTTCCGTTGAATGTAGAAATATTAGAATATTCTTGTCTTTATTAAGGCCTTACCCCAACAAAGAAAGCACAAAAATTTCCAAGAAAAGAGCCATTGTCAACTTCGGCCTTATTTTTCTGCAAGAGAAAGAAAAAGAGGTACATATAATTGCATGTGGATCCAAGGACACAAGCATCAGAGAGGAGATTAAGGAAACAGAAGAAATCAAAATTGAAGACTGTGCACTCGCACGTGTACCTCTCAAGAAAGTAAGCAAAAGGTAACAGCACAAGACCAGCCAAAATATTCCGATAGGTTACATAGATGTAAGGATTCAAACCATGAATGAAGGAAGCCTCTGTGATGAAATACAAGATGGAATAGACCAACTGTACTGAGATCATCAACAGGTGTGGCTTGAACTTGATGTACACACCTCCAACACCACATCTTTTTTGTTCCATTATTAATCTCAGCGATCAACAACCAAGACTCCTCTCTATCACGTAAACTCACACTGGCTATCACTATGTTACAAGCTCTCAAGCATAAAATGCACATATATATAGCAGTTTATAAATATATATATATATATATATATATCCTGTGTTGCAAAATTTCCTATGAAACGCACTTAAAATAGGGTGCATGTTATTTAAAGAATTACTACTGGTTGAAAGATTACGTATAACAGCAAATAACTATAAACAACTTCATTTTCCTTAGTGATTCTTATATATATCATATCTTGAATAGTTTATGTTTGTGGCGAATCTTGAGTTACCTTCTGAGAGCAAATACCCAGAATAATGTAATAATCTTTTGCATCAGATTATACCCGATATATGGCTGACAATTCTTGAAGAGATTCGGAAAACTTGGCTGTCCCACATGCATGATCTGGTCCTGGCGCATTGTTTCTTCTCGTGCTCTTGGAATAGCACCATGCAGCTATTGGTTTCTTTTTCCCTCCTCTTTTGCTGATTACTTGTGCGCTATGACTTGGATCGTTAATTCATGTAATAAGCATTTAACAAAACATTTAGATGCCATAATTAAGGAGAATTATTGGTGGCAAAAAGGAAAAGATATCATTAGAAGAATTTAAACGCAACTCGTTAAAATTTTCCCGTGTATCAATCATCAATCATATAGAAGTTTGTCATTCGATTTCTTCGCTGTGGAAAAAACTGATGTTCTCTTTGACAAGCTAGCTGGTATTTGAATAAAGTAATTATAAAGCAATATTGGCCCTTGGTGGATTTCTTTGAAGGTGTTACTGGTGGTTGCGTATGAAAAATTTGAATATTATTGTTCACAAATTAATTTCACGTTCAATTTAAGCGTTCTCTTTTTATACATTAGTCGAAATTATTATATATCACAACAGTATAAATAACCTTCACTCGTCTCGTCCTCCCTAAAATTTCTCATTCTTGTTATACCACGTACTTTCAAATATAGGTATACCAAAATTTAATTTAAGGGAGAGGATGGCACTTATCAGCTAAGAGATTAATTTAAGGGAGAATGATAGTAAAGTACCAAAATTAAAAATTTATGACAGTTAAGTTCCTGATAAAAATTATATACAAATATCAATCTAAATAATTACAAACATAAATTCCAACTGTAAATTAAGAGTTATATTTAAAAATTATTTGCACTTAGAATAACTGAATTTATGACTATTTGAATCAATATTAATCCAAATCTCCCATTCAAATTAATCTAAACTCTCATTATGTGAGACCATTATTACCAACAATGATAGTCTCATGGGTACCTTAGAGATTCTTTTGGTATATTTATTCAATACAACTAAAAATTTTAAAAATTGAATTTAAGATTCTGTTATAAACTAACTTAGCTCTATCGACTAGTTGAATCAAACCTTTCTTGATTTCTTTCTTAATTTAATGTTGTAAATAGGCAGCTCTTAGTGACTTGTAACCAAGATCATCTTCCAACTTTGATGTTTGTGGGAATTGCTTCTTTGCTTTAGAAGATAATTTGTTCCCTATCAAAAAATCCTGCTTTTACTACCCATAGAGGTCCCCCCCCTCCCACACACACATCCATGCATCTTCCGCTATCCATCATATAAAATATACATATAGTATCAAAGCTTAATTATTATTTTTATTGAAAAAGTTTAATTATTTTATAATTGAATGGGTTAAAATTATTTATCTTGTGGTTGATATGAATGATGTTGAAAGGTGACCACCACACTGTGTCATTATTCTCCATTATCTTACCTTTAATTTTTTTAGGGCAATGAAAAGAAATATATATTGTAGTTCTTTAATTTAAGTCATTGATGAGTGGCTTAAAGCTAAGTGATCAGGAAATGAGCTAAAAAAAAGGTGAACGTAATGTCCTTTCAGTCCAACTTAGGTTATTGCTATCGAAAAGTTGGATTTATATCTCTCCCAAGCCGTAAAACCACAAAAATTCTGCTTTAATTTGTGGAGTACTTTCCCATTTGATAAGTCTATAGCTGTGTTTCAATCAATAATTTAATAATCTAAATACTATAAAAGTCAAAAAGACTGATTTGGATTTTTCGCACTCATTTTTTTTATATTTCAGTATTGATTTTTTCAAGAAAAAATTATGATCTTTGTTGTTGTCATTCTTCTTTTTCCTTTTCAATATAAATACTCTCCGTTGAATAGAGGCCTTCTTCTATTTTTTTAACCCACGCATGAGAATTAATTTTATTGCAATTTACAATCTAGTCGTATTTCATTTAAAATGATCGCTCAAAAGAAAACTATATAAAGGGAAAAGATAAAGTAAAGATAAATTCTTCATGTTAAAATTCATGCTGTTTTATTTTTGAGTAAATGAACGTATTATCCTTTAAATTTAAGGTTGAGTAACACCACATATAAATTACAAACTTTTTTATTATGCAAATTATTCTCTCAATTCTTGAAAATAGTACAATTTCACCCTTATTATTAATAAAAATTAACTTTGACTATTGATTCACTAAGAAATGATGAAAAAGAATTTCAAAAATTATAAAAAAAAGGCAAAAAAAATACAACAATGGCCAAAAAATTATAAAAATGGACCAAAAAATTTTGTTTCTTTTATATAATTTTTAAGATCATTTTCTGATCAATTAATTATCAAAGTTAACTTTTGTTAATAACAAAGACTAGATTGTATTATTTTTAAAACTTGAAAGAATCATTTGCGATATAAACATGTTTAGAATTTATGATACTATCAAATTAAAGTTTAAAAATAATTTACTCATTTACTTTTTATTTCTTCTACCAAAAAGGGGTTCAAGCCACTTGGCGTCGAAAAAGATTTTTTTTTTAAATGTTGCGCCCACGCACACATATTTGTAATTGTTATTTGAAATGACTTTTAATTTAATCGCTATTTAATATTAAATATGATATTTTTAAAAAATAATATAATTTTAATATACTTTTCTTTGATTCTTTGTATCATACATGTGTATGACTCTCACCTTTAACGGAAGATAAAGGGGAGCATATTTCATCGACGAGATAATTTTTGGCGAATAAGAAAGATACTTGAACTTATATATTTATATTATATTTAATCTATTTTTATTCAATCAACTTATAAAAATTAAATTTTAAATTAAAAAATTAAAATGAACAAGAGCTGGCAATATGAATTAATACGTGGTGTTTTAAACGGGATAGTTACAATCAATTAACCCTTTGAACGAGCTCTCTCAAGTTTCAATTTATGTAATTGTCAATGCTTTTAGGATCTAATCACAATGCTCATATAATATCAGTTTGAATATGACCTTAGAGCAGTGGGTCTATTTTTAGGAATTCGAGCTCATAATTTTGTTTATTCCTAATTTATTATTTTTTTTAAACCCAGCTCTTATTGATGAATAATAGAGCTCAGAACTCTCACATATTTTTAAAATTTAAATTATAATTATGTTAATATTCATATAAACTTAAAAAAATTTTAATTTAAATGTCAAAAAGACAATAATAAACTTTAATTAAAGTACAATGAGAATAATGCAAACCCTAAAATAAAAATATACAATTTTTTATTGAAATTACTGATCTCTAATGATGTCAATACACACAATTCAACAAATTGTATCATGTTCATATATTAATTTAAAAATTAAAATAAACCTAACAAATTGAATCAAATAATTTTTTTAACAATTATTTAGCTACATTTAGATTATCCAAATTAAAAAAAAAAAAAAAAGAGGGAAAGCTATAAACTCTAATGAGCTAGCCCAGGCCCAAACAAATTTTAAGGGTTTACAAGACCCAAGTTATGAAGAAAAAAAAAGTATCCAAAAAGAGTTTATTTTTTAATCCCAACTTTCAAAAAATACGTGACTTGAACGAGTACTTCTAGACCAAAATGTAAGACATTAGTAACTAATTTACTATTATAAAAAAAATATTAGTTAAAATCTTAATTTTTAAAAAAAAATTTACATGTTTCTAATTATAGCATAATTAAATATCTTATATAAAAGTCTTGGTAATAAACTTGATAATAATAATTAAAATTCTAATACATAATTTGTTTAAAAAGAGTAATAAATAAAGTAGGAGTATAATTAAAAAAATAATTATAAAAATTACTAAATGTTTTATATTTTGGATTAAATAAAACTTTTAAAAAATATCTTATATTATAATTTGCAGGGAGTAACATACAAAAGAGTTTTGTCCTTATTCATGCTTCATGGGTATATTTAACCCATACATTGATACAAGTTTAAATTAGAGCTGGTAATTTAAATTAAATCCAAAAATTAGTATCGTGTTTAGTAAAATTATCACTATTTTAATGTCAAGTCCTATTCAAGCTAGCCATTTTTCTTCTCATATATTCTGCATCTGCAAACCCACCTCAGATGTACCCATGGAGCTTTGTTTCATTATTTCATAAAAAGATTTCATCCACTTGATATTTTAAAATTGTATTTTGGTTTAACTTGAAAATTGACTCCTTGAAATTAAAAAATTAAATAAGTAAACAATTGAATTAGTTAGATCATACCAATAAAATCCAATACTAACTCCCATTTCTTATTGAATTCATAGTAAATTAACTGATCAACTAAACATTCATTTTGGTTCGAGTCTTAGAAACATAGTAGCATAAATAGCCAAGGATGCCCACCCTTAAAATGCTTGCCATGCCTCCATTCAACTTTTCTGCGCATCGTTAAGTTTTCACAGCTTGAGTGAGACAAATTCAGGATACTGGTGCTCACAAAAATAAAATAAAATAAAACATTTATTTTGGATTTGCAAATTTTTTGAAAAAAAAAAAATTCACTTCTAGTCCTAAGGTTTCTGCGGTTGAAAGGGGGGGAAAAACTAATACGTATTGCTTAAATAATTGGGGAGGGAGTGTTAGTATGCAGTGCAGTCTAGCTAGCTATCATCTTCAAAAACAAAGACACTCGCTTAATTCTCAAGTACCCTTTTATTTCCAATCATTCTTGGTGTAATTTGACCTCAAGCAATTCAATTAGGGTAAGAAACTGCGTTTTAGGTAAGAGTGAACTGATTTACTTATGTACAGCTCGACCTTTTCCTTGGAAATGCTAACATAGTTTTCTCACTCTTAAAGATCAAAAGGCATTTCATCAGTTCCAGCGGCTATGCTCTGCTTTTGGGGATCATTGGAAGTGCCTTTGAATCTCTGTTTTGTACTGCTGATATCACCCTCTTGCTCTTCTTCCTTGCCCCAAATCATCAAGTACATCCCAATCACCACTACCAGTGCCCCAACGATGCTGAATTAACCATATGGCATATATCACCCTCATTAGACTTTACAAGAATTAAAATAATCTAATGATGAATTAATATTAAAACATCTCAAGTCAGTGCAAAAAGGCCTGAGTTATTTTACTGGCAATATTGCTGTGTTTCGACTGTTAGTATTAGATCATTCTCGTTTAATTTCTCTTCCTGTTTGACATAACTTTTTGTCCCCAAGATCTTCTGAACCGTGAAATTATACGGAGAAAAAAATTTAAAAAGATCTCAAAGAGTGAGTTAAAAATATAATTGACCCTTCCGGCCTCTCCTATCCTTTTACCATACTCTGCAATGTGAATGGAAGATTTCAAATGCGACATTCTTTTGTCTTCTTAAATGAGAAGATTTGGATTAAAGAAAATCTGTAATCATGCATGCATGTCTGTGTGATTACGTGTTTCCTTCGTCTAAATAATTTTTTTTTTTTTAAAAAGAAACTTGGAATCCATATATAGTTATTTAGAAACATCCTTCGGTAGTTTTACTGCTTTTGATTAGAGCAAATATAAAAGGAAAGATGTATACCAGCCCAGATGAAGTTTATCACCGACGACGAAGTATGAAAGAACAGCCACGAAAATTGTAGGAAGAGGATTAAACATGGTGACAAAAACTGGGCCTTTTTCTTCGGTGCACCACAGTTGAATGAAAATTGACAAACCAGAACCCAGAACTCCCTGCCATATCAGTAATTAATAAATAATATTAACTGTCAGTCACTATTACTATATATTTAGTACTCTGTTTGTTAATTATACTGCTTACTCTCTTTATCTGCACTTACACCATATAATATGGACAACAGGTCAATATTAACTCCTACAGTCCAGGCCGATATGTTATGTTCCACTATCAATGTGAAAACTGCTGATTGTACTCCTCCAACTAGTGCCATCCACGTAGTCAATGATAATTGTGCAGGGTATCTTTTCAAGCTATATGCCTATATATACATGTTGTTTCAGTAAGCTAAAAAATTTGCAGATAGCTTTGATGGTACAAAACATGCTAGAAGAAAGCACAGGCGTGTTTGAAAGTTTATAGTTGAATTGAGAAGTGATGGCAAAGTGAAAAACTAACCTGCATAATGTACCAGATGGCCCATGCTACACAGCTTGCAATTACAAGGAGCGATCCCTTGAACCACTCCTCATGGATATGATCATTTTTATGAATATGAATCAGAGGGGGCCATACATTTCTTATTATAGGCCCTCTGTATAGTGTCACGATCATTATCCCACCTAAAGAGACCAAAGTTCCAACTACCTTTGCTATACTTCGAGGATTGTGCAGGTTTATAACCTCCATCCTGCAATTAATTGGAATAAATAATGCAAGTTTAGTGTATGTGGAAATGCAAATATTCTTTGTATACGACGTGTATAAAAATTCCAAATTCATACCTGAGTATCACCGCAATAGCAAAGGTCATAGAAGCCACAGTGTTGTATACTACAGTCACAAAGGTTGGATTGGTGTATTTTAGGCTGGCAAAGTACATGTTCAGACTCAAACTTACCCTGAAATTCTTGAAAGACAAGAGAATTTCATTAAGTTTCTATATATATTGTTTCCATTGAAAAAAAAAAAAGAAATATCAAAATAATAATAACACGCTTGTCTTTAAGGTCTAATTACCCCAACAAAGAAAGCACAAAAATTTCCAAGAAGAGAGCCAGTGTCAACTTCGGCCTCATTTTTCTGCAAGAGAGAGAAGAAAAAGTCAACTGCGAGAGAGAGACGCATATTTAGATAAATAAGTTGCATGTGAAGATCATAAGGAGATTAAAGAAACCGAACGATTCATTGAAAGATGAATCACTGCGTGACATGAGTAGATGTGTGCGTACGTACCTCTCAAGAAAGTATGCAAAAGGCAACAATGCAAGGCCAGCTACAATACTCCGGTAGGTCACATAGACGTAAGGATTGAAGCCATGATTGAAAGAAGCCTCTGTGATGAAATACAAGATGGAATAGCTTAACTGAACTAAGATCATCAACAAGTGTGGCTTGAACTTGCACCACACACCCCCAACACCACATGTTTTTCGTTCCATTATTAATCTCAGCGATCAACACTCACTATCGCCTTTCATATGCTCTAAAGAAGCCTTAAATGCATCGATATATATACACTGCGCTGCAAAGTTCCTATTAGATGCACTTCAAATGGGGTGTGTGCTATTTTCAAGAACTAATGCTGGTTGAATGATTACGTGAAAACAGCTATATTAATATATAAACAGTGTACAAATTTTTTTCTCAGCGATCTTGCAGAATTTCTTGAAGAATTTGTGATTACCTGGAATCTTGAATTAGGGTATGACATCATAACACTATTACAAGGAAGATCTCTTGGAGCACTTATTTTTATTTTACCAAAACAGTTTTAAATATTATTGATGAGATTTCAAAACCATGGTTGTCCTCGTACTTGACTTTGGTACTCATCACTATGATAAAATCTGGACCATTTAAATTAAGATTTAAATGATTCAGATTTAAAGTATTATTATATATTTGTAATATATATTTATTAAAATAAAATTTTATTTAAATTATAAAATAATTGTAATAAATTTTTTTATTTTTAATTTGATTTAGATTTAATTTGGAGGATCCAATTTAACATTAAAATTTTTATAATTGATATATATTGACCATCCAGATATACTCTATATAGTCCAAATTAATATTATATTAAATCTGAATTGTACAAAGTATACCTGGATAGTTAATATATAATAATTATAAAAATTTTAATATTAAATTAAACTCTCTAAATTAAATCTAGACTATATTAAAAATAAAAAATTTATTAAAATTATTTTATAATTTTATAAATTTTTATTTTAATAAATATAAAATATAATAATATTTTAAATTTAAACTATCCATATCAAAATTTAAATATTAGTGTTTATTATTGTGATGAGATTCGAAGGCAGGGCCGGCAGTCCCCCCATGCATGCTTGGCCCGTCCATTCTTTTAGCTAGTGCTCTGGGAATTAAGTACCATTAATCCATAGGTTCTTTGCCTTTGTCGTTTGCGCTGATGTGACTTTGCGCACTACGACTTAGATCATTGATTCATGTAATAACTATTTAGACATCACCATAAGAATTTGCCAAAAATATCATTTTATTGAACCATGCACTTTCCAAATAACATCATCAAAATTACTCCTCCTTGTTCCATTTATAAAGTAAAAAAAATAATTTTTAATTATATTTATAAATTATATCATTAAATTTTTATAATAAATTTTTTTTACTCTCTAATAAATGTTGAAAAAAAATATATTATTAAAATATGTGTATTTAATATAGACAAAGAACTTATTAAATTTTTAAACACAGTTAATAAGTTTTAAAGTTATTTTTATTTCAATGAAACATGTTAAAATGATTTATAAATAAATTAGAATAGTAAAATTTAAAGGAGGAATCACAATTCAGGCCTTAAAAACCAAAAAAATTGACACTTTGAGCCCAATACATTATGATATTGGACTGCAAGTTCAAAGACTCTTATTACAATTTTTCTTAAAAGCAAAAGGATAATTTTACCTTTTGTGTGATTTGAAAACTCAACTTGTGTAAAACTCCCATCCACAAAGCACAATACAATGTTTATAGATGCACAACACGATGTGTATGGATTTTCAACACAATGTCTATGCTTGTTTAGTTAATCTGTAGGTTAAAATATAGAAGTCACATAACATGTACAACAAAATGTCCATAGATCTACAACATGATATTCATGAATTCTCAATATAATATTCATACGTGTCCAGTTAATCTGTATATTAATTAAAATATACAAGTTACATAGAGCATATACAACACAATATTCATGAATACACAACAAAATGTTCATGAATTCTCAATACAATATCCATATGTGTCCAATTGATCTATAAGTTAATTAAAATATATAAGTCACGTAGAACATATACAATACAATATCTATATGTCCACAACATAATGTTCATGGATTATCTACACAATGTTCATAAATTCTTAGCACAATGTTTATATGTCCATACATGGATATGCAATTGAAAATGTATGAATATCGTATTGTGCATCTATAAACATTGTGTTGTACATTATCTACGTCACTTGTATATTTTATTAAATATATTGATCAATTAAACATGCATGAATATTGTGTTAAGAATTCATGAATATTATATTGTGCATTTATGAATATTGTATTATACATGATCTGAGTTTTTAAATTACACAAAAAAAAATTATATTTTCACTCTCAAAAGACATTATAACAAAAGCCCTTGAGTATTCAATGTAATTTTTTTTTTTTTTTGGTTTTCAAGACTCTTAGTGCGGTTCTCCCAAATTTAGCTATTAACATGGCTTCAATGTTATAGGCAGCTGCCTCAGTCTGTAAATGCGCCGCCGCCAAATTTCCCCCCCCCCAAAAAAAAAAAAGCCCTGCCGTACACGTTCCACTGTTCATATTGAAAAATTTAAAATGATAATAACAGGATTGGGTATAGGATATAAAATGGATATAAAATGGATATAAAATAGATAAGCAGCCAAAATTTAATAAATAAAATATTTTTAAGTGTGCGTCAACACTGTCATTGTTCGCCATTATCTTGGCGTTTTCCAATGAGATGGTTCGTACGAGGTGACCTTTCTCTAGAAGGAGAATGAAATTTCATGCTTAGATATGTTAGAGTACAAGATCATTCCCTCCCATGAGTATATTATCCCGTGCTGCAACGCCAATTTTATTCCATTCACATTGTGATGGAATCGGACGAGATTCAGGGAACGTTGTATGAAACAATTTAAAAAAAAAATAATCCAGAACTAAAACAGATTCTTGAGAGCAGCAATAAACTAAAAAGAACCTATTAAAACACCATTTCCAGTAATTTAGGCTTGATCTTACCGCAAGAAGACTTACATATTGCCATAACACTATCCATAGATAACTTTTTTGCAAGCCAAAATTTTTTTTTAAAAGAACACCAACACCTTTTTTTTTTTTTCTCCATTTTCCTTTACAACCTACTGCAACACCAATTCCTCATTGAAATGAATTGAAAAAAATTGAAGTTTTAGTGTATAGAATGTTGTTCACCCTAAACTAACTTCCTTGTTTAACAAGTAAAAATTAAATTAAATTTAAATATCTCAATAAATTATAAGACAGTCCTTCAACGAACAAGTGAAACAAATAATATAAGTATATTAAGGCAACCTTTTGAGCTTCGAATTTCGGCCATATTATATGGATTTCATTCATTACTTCTCATCTTAAGCGAACTATTGCCTCGCAAGATCATGTAATGTGTAAATGCAATATTAGATGGCATGCATAAACATACACAATAAGGCATGCTTATTAGTGATATCATCATACTTTCATCATTTTACAATCATTACACATTTGCATCACAAGAAATTATTAAACTCCATATAACAAATTATCATATTATCATAGAACTCCACAATTTAATATCTTTCTCATTATTCATAGCACATGCACATATATATATATATATATATATTCTTTCACAATTTGCAAATTTGCCATAGCAATAATTATTCATTGTACCATTATAACTCACCTTATACCGCAAGCCACACTTGCATTAAACAATTTTATACTCGTTTCAAAATAGTTATAAAACTATGTAACTAATTAAAATACAGAAGTTTAAAAAAAATTCTCCTTTAATCACTTTAAACCCTTGAAAAGTCAAAAGTAATAGTATACTTTGAAAGCTTGAATGGTGTCAATATGTAAATTAATCTACAAATTATCATACCACAATCATCAATATCATGATTTAACAACTCTTACTCTTCAACTCAACACTTTACAACTTTTAAAATCACAACCTCTTCACTTTTAAACATATTCATTGGGTTCATTAATTCTCATTATTTTATATTAACTTTATTGAATTTCAAGTCATTCATTGATGGAATTAATAACTTTCAACCACTACATTTATTGTGGATTTTTAGCCATCATTGGCTTTAAACCACCAAAAACACATTTATTGCTCATGATAAAGTTTAAATTACTTAAACAACTCTTATTAACTCTATAAAAGCCAATGTACTTGAACTCATAACCTCTATGAACCGAAAATCATCTTCTCAAGAAAACTCTAACTCTAAAACTCAAGAAACATATAAGAGAAAGAAGGATTAAGGCTTAGGAAACTTACCTTTGGGATTTACAAACTTCAAGCTTTACATCCCTCACACTTAACTCTCTCTCTCTCTCTCTCTCTCTATTTTCCTTCTGTTTCCATTTCTATTTTGCATCTGATAAGTTTAAATTTTTGACCATGCGTCACAGCTTGTGACACATAGAATTTTGCTTTGCTTGAATTCGAGCCATGTGCCCCATGATATATGTCACAAAGGGCTTCCTTCATTGATTTTGGCCTTTACGCCATGGCACATGACACACACACCATGACACATGGTGCAAAGGCATCCTCATATTTTCTTTCCTTTTTAAGACTTAAGTAACCCATTAGCATGCTGGACACAAGTCTAAGGTTGTAATCACAACCTAATAGGGTCGTTAGCCCTCTTAAACTACACACCACGCTAATTTATCTAATTACCTTCAATTACTTACTTAAACTTGTTTGACTTAATTAATTTAAGGTTAAGATTTTTGAAAAATTGCACATGCAATAAATATTTAGACATCATCATAAGAATTTGCCAAAAATATCATTTTATTGAACCATGCACTTTCCAAATAGCATCATTAAAATTAGCCAAAAATATCATTTTATCGAACCATGCACTTTCCAAATAGCATCATCAAAATTACTCCCTCTTATCCCTTATAAGACAAAGAGAGAATATTTTTTTAGTTATATTTATAAATCATATCATTAAATTCTTAAAATAAATTTTTTTTTACTCTCTATTAAATGTTGAAAAAAATATTATTAAAGCATGTATACTTAATATAAACAAAAAATTTTTTAAATTTTTAGACACAGTTAATGAATTTTATAGTTTTTTTTATTTCAGTAAAATATGTTAAAATGACTTAGAAATAGAATTAAAATAATAAGATTTAAATGAATCTGACGTGTGTTTAAATACCTCGCAAATTCGCCAGGAGCTATTAATATGGCTTCAATGTTACAGGCAGCTGCCTCAGTCTGTAAATGCGCCCCTCCCCGCAACCCAAAAAAAAAAAAAAAACACACACACACACACCCCCCCTACACACCGTACACGTTCCACTGTTCATATTAAGAAATTTAAAATGATAATAACAGGATTAGTTATAGGATATAAATTAGAGATTAAAAAATATAAGCAGTCGTAATTTAATAAATAAAATATTTTTATGTGTGTGTGTGTGTCAACATCCTGTCATTATTCGCCATTATCTTGGCGTTTTCCAATAAGATGGTTAGTACGAGGTCACCTTTCTCTAGAAGGAGAATGAAATTTCATGCTTGGATATGTTTTGAGTAAAAGCTCATTCCCTCCCAAGATCGTATTATCCCGTGCTGCAACGCCGATTTCACACCGTTTCACATTGTGATGGAATCGGACGAGATTCAGGGAACGTTGTATGAAACAATTTTTTTTAAAAAAAAAATCCAGAATCCAAAACAGATTCTTGAGAGCAGCAAGAAACTAAAAAGAATCTAACACAAATATCTATCAAAATACTATTTCCAGTAATTTAGGCTTGATCTTACCACAATAAGATTTACATATTGCCATAACACTATCCATAGATAACTTTTTTGCAAGCCAATTTTTTTTTTTAAAAGAACATCTACAATTTTTTTTTTCTTTCCATTTTCCTTTACAATCTGCTGCAAACCCAATCCCTTATTAAAATGAAAAAAAAAAAAAATTGAAGTTCTAGCGTAAGGCGCTATTCTATCTGTTCTCCTATTAACATTTTGAAATGAAAGGATTCCAACGAGATGGGCTTCTGTTAGATGAGCGAATTCTGATTGATTATAGAGGCTGCTACCTTGCAGCCAATAGCCAAAGCATAATTAGAGATGAGACTAAAATAGCTATCCAGCTCAAGGAAGCCAAAGCAACTGAAATCTGATACCTCTGACATTCTTGTCCGAACTTGCAGCTTCCCGCATCATTGAAGTATAGGACTGCGATGCCGGCTGAGGCAGAAGCTGCTGCTAGAGATAATGTTGCTGTTACCTGCGGAAATGATTGATTAGAATTGTCAAACAGTAACCTTGACCCAAAAAACTCTTTACTAGAGATTGTACGCCTGGCCTACAAAATGTGATTTGACCGTGCCATTTGTTGAAAACAAAATTACATATCAGATGTAAATCTCATTGAAGAATACATCTGACATGATGTTATATTTATAATTGCCCTGATTCTTGACCTTCATAAGCTTTGTGATTCTTACAGTATCTAATCAAGTAAGCAACTAAGACAGTGAAGGATTGGCAGAGGCTAACCCAATCTCCAACAACGAACAGGCTAACCAAGAGAGAATTGTGAAGGACCTTCTTTCTCACTAAAGCATACGCATCCAGCAAGGCAAGCACAAAACTCCAAACGACTTGCAAACCCATTGAAGCTATCAAGTAACTGCAATTCCAACAAAATTCGCAGCATCAAGTCCCTATAAATCAAACATTTAAGCATTGCCATAAAGACATGAGAAGAGATGCTTTTAATCCTTATGAGTGAACAAATTCTGAGGTGAACATTTTCATCCTGTTCAGGAAAAGCCAAAGATTGCTGATGGTACTGGAGTGTGTCCTGCTACATTTAAGTTTTACCATAGACCTCCATCTATACCCAACTCCCTCTTTCATCTCTACTACAAGCCTCGTTTCACACTTCACAGCATGCATTCTATCCAGAATTTCACCGTCAGATTAAAATATTGAAAAGTCAAAGCTCATTTAGCTATTCCAGTTTTATTTCCACTTTCCACGCCAACTAAACATGACCAATTTAAGGGAGCTTAGCATATGATGGATATTTGATTAATTCGACATGAACTTATCATTTAGCTCATTTTAGGCATGTTGGCAAGAGAGAGAGAAACAGAGAATAAAAAATGAAATATCATGTGAACAAAAACATGTCCATAATCTTAGCCATACAAAAATATAACAAGTCCAATGTACCATTAATTACCACATGATCACCTCGGACCTAGATTTTTAATGTATTCTTTTAATCCTTAGTAACAGATACATTTATCTAAAGAGGAAGTCTAAATATCCAAGTACAGATTTTGCTTCAAAATCAGTTAGAAATATGAAGCTGAAGCGGAATTGTTTGGGCTGGTGTTGAAAAATGTGAAAAGCCAATAAATGACACCCAGATTTTGCCAGTGTGGCAGGGTCGGTTGTATCAAATTGTCATCCAGAAGTCAGCAATACAATACAAGCACGACTCTGCTGGACATTAATATTTTCCCGGTGTGACTGAGTAAAAGTAGTTTTAAGGCAATAGTCAGGGGTAGAGATTGCCATATTTTGTGAACATATAAACTGGAAAATATTACACTCAGTTGTCAATAACATGAAGAAGAAACTAGGGCAGACATTAAGCAAGTAGTAACTTATAGGATTTCCGCCCCTAATTTTATGAATGCTTTGACAATGAAAGTTTCCTACTCCCAAGCAAACCATGAAGTGGTATTAGATTCTGCTTCAATGACATCTTAAACAAACAAGAGAAGTTAAAAATCCCCAACTTATTTGAATGCCTATATGACCCAGCTCAAGAAGAGGAAACCATTCCAATTTCTTCTCATTGCTCCCATCCTCGATCTTTCATTCCCTATTGCATATGTATTCTGCAGTGAGATTTTAGTTTTGCAACTCGAAAGGCAAGAGATAGATGTCTGTCCGTTTAATTATTCAAATAGCGGCAGCAGTCAATGAGGAAAACCGTTAGCGAATTTTATACCAGGGACATTTGATCTAATCAAGTCAAAACTACGATGCCCCTCAATTTGTATAAAAAATTTAGCCACATTCTATTTAAGAGAGTGACTAATGTCGTAGTCTTAGATAACATTAAAAAAAAAAAAAAAAAGACCAGCACATATTCTGTTAATGACAGTTGGAGGCAAGGTGCTGAACTTGTTTAAGAAAGTGAATTAGTGACTAATGTCGTAGTCTTAGATAACATTAAAAAAAAAAAGACCAGCACATATTCTGTTAATGACAGTTGGAGGCAAGGTGCTGAACTTGTTTAAGAAAGTGAATTTGACTAATATTCATAAATCACAAAACGGAGTTCTAACTTTAAACCAAATGAAGCGAATCAATCACGAAGACAGAGATAACATTTGACTAGGGTGTTGTGAGAACAAAAGCATCCCCCTGCAAAGACACTCCTAGTTCCAATGAAAGAAACGTAGGAGAAAAAAGTGCAGAAATAGAAATTGTTCTTTAGAGGAGGATGAGTTGTGTTACCAAAAAGCCGTGATACCGTAGAAACTGGATGTGGTACCCATAGCAGCAATTGATCCAACAGCGAAAGTGCACTGTGACAACCTCAGAACCAGCGCAGTGAGAGTACCAGGTGTCCCAGGAAAATGCTTCATTTTTTTCTCCGGATAAAATAAGTGGTTTCAGATTCTGACGGGTGTAAACGCACTCATCTTTCTATTTTAGCCGAGTGCAGGGAACAAAATCACCAAAAAAAAAAAAAGACAGGACCCCTGTTATCTACTTTCCTTTCAGAGGCCAAATAGACAGGGAAGGGAACAAAGCAATTGATAGGCAGAAAAGGAAGGGCGATGACTGGAGCAACAAATTGAAATTCGACCAAAGATGAAGGAAACCAAGTAAGATGATGAGAAAAACAAAATGGGGTGGTGATTAAAAAGGTCAATCAGAGGAATCGGCGTGCAGAAGAGAAACCAAACCGGCCTTATTGCTTGCTTGGAGGGGCATCTTCTTCTTCTGACAAGATGAAAGCGAAGGCTCACCGCACGTATGAGCGTGGACATGAAATCCATGGCCTCTGACTCAGAAATTAGTGGAGGCTACTTCGCCTAAACGCCACGTGTTTGACAATGACCAACGACGGCCTTTCGATTCGCGTATATACGGCGAACATCTAGCCTTTATTTGTTTTTTTTCTTTTAATGCTGAAAAATGATGGCTGATGGCTGAGGCCCATTTGCTTTGGTGAAAAAAATTAGTGTCCTTCAATTCAATAATGTAGGCGTTCCTAAAAGAATTTTTTTATCTTTAAATATAATATATGTTTAATAAAATATTAGTTACGATTTTTTTACTATTATTTTTATTAAAGTTATTAATTATGAGAAAACTTGGCATCAATTTTAAAATTTTTATTTTAAATTGCGATAAAATAAAAAAATTATTTTATTTTAAAAAAATTATCAAGTTAACCACATCTCTATAATTTAGTAAGGTAATTAAAGGTATCTTATAAAAAGAAAAAAAATTAAACTATACATTTAATTTTTAAATTTTACATAAGATTTTATTTTAGTCATTTAACTTTATAAAGTGTCTTTTTAATACTTTAACTCTAATATTATTGGTTTTATCCTAATAAATTTTTAGTCATTTATCTCAAATGTTGACATATTAAATTTAATTTTTTTTGAAATAATGATAATGGACACAAAAAATAATCATTTAAAACTAATAGCATTAAAGTTAAAAGATTAAAAAATATTTTATAAAATTAAAGAATTAAATTAAAATCTTATATAAAGTTGGAGGATTAAAAGTATACTTTAATAAAAAAAATATTTTTAATCGACAAATATATTAAGAGTCAGACTTATACACTTAATTTTATATACTTAATATACTTTATCCAATCACAACAAAACATGTGAATTTTAATGTATTAATAATAAAAATTTGTTATAAAATAACTAATTCATAAAAGATTCATGTATTTTATTTAATTGAAAGCAAGCATTTTGAACATATAAGGCTAACCAAACCCCCTTAAAAAAACAGCATGCTATGCACAGCTACAACCACTGTTGACAACCAATTACTAGCCATAACCATTGTCAGAGAACACTTGAACTCATATAAAAAAAGGTGACTAAAAATATAACCAAAAACATAACCCATACAAACTTAAGAATTGAAGAATTAAAAAATGTCAAAATAACATCATTGTTTAGAATTAAAGACTTGATGTTTATGAAATTTCAAAAGGTTAATATGTAATTTGAACCTTGAACTATATGTCCATAAATGATTTGAACCCCATATTCATAATTGGTACATTTTGAACTTCGACCAATTAAAGTTATTGCATCTTTGCCCCTATTATTAATTTGAAATTAACTATAGTTACTTTTCTAAAGTAGTAGGCCCACACTCTTCATTTGCTCACCTTCTCTATCTACCTTCCTCCATTAGCAAACACAAACCTTGAACTTCAATTTCTACACCTAACACATTCCTTTGTTCATTCATTCAATCCCATATCCCTATCTTCTCCTCCTTTTATTCAAATCCCTTGGTTTTCTCGTCTCAGGAATTAAGGTTGTTAAGCTTTTTATTCAAGTCTAGCAACTATATATGTGTCCGAAGGCATTGGGAGAAAGTCATCCTCTCGTACACCTACATCACCTTATGGATCTTCCTTAGCTTCACCATCATTGGCCACTGTAACAAGTACATTCTCAACCACAAGATGTACAATTGGCCTTACCCAATTTCCCTTACCATAATCCACATAGCTTTCTACTCCTTCCTCCTCATTTGCGTCCCCAAGCTTGTCGAGCCTATTTTAATTTTGCAAGAGCTTTACATCAAATTTGTTGCACCTATTAATGCTTTACATTGTCTTTCTCCCTAATTCTCTAATTTTGCCTATATTCACCTCTCTATTTCCTTCATTTAAATGCTCAAAGCCCTCATGCTTGTCGCTGTTTATTTTATTAGGGCTTTGTTTGAGAAGGAGAGTTGTAAGAGTGAAACCTAAAACCTTGGCTAATATGATGTCAATTTTTGTGAGTATTGCGATCATCACTTATCGTGAAGTGAAATTCAATGCTTAAGGCATGACTCTATAGCTTTTGGTGCTTTCATTCAGGGCCACTTGGTTGGTTCTAATATAGATTTTGTTGAATTCTAAAGGGATTTCTCTTAACCCTATCAACTCACTTTTCTATATTGCTCAACATAGAGTGCTCGTATTTAAAAGAAATCTCTAGTTTTCACTTTAACTTTATCAGTTTTTGGGCTAATTCATTCCCATGCTTTCACTTTGAATATTGCTGTGTTTTTGCTTTTTAGGAAGACATCGCTCTGACCATGAATGTTGTCAAAGTAGTAAAGGATTGGTTTGTTGATTGCTTTCTCCCAAACCTATGATAAAGGACATAGTGACACCCATCCATTTGATAGGCTATGAGCTTGCATTCTTAATGGTGTAGGCCCCACTGCTTTTAAAAAGTAGTCACCTTTAGTTTTCAAATTAATGATTGGAGCGAGTATGCATCAACTTTAATTGCTAGGGTTTCAAAATGTACCAATTATTAATATAGGTTCAAATTACACTTGAACCAATAGTTTAGTGTCTAAATTGCATATTAACCCAATTTTAAATAAATCACAACATAAATAAGTCATATTTGGTGAACCCATGATTACAAGAAGATAATGCTAGACAAATTGCATCACAAAAAAGTATTATATTTGTTAAACCCCTATCAACCACCTAGAATCAGAACTCATTTAAGGCAGGAAAAAAAGAAGAAAAAATGAAAGATTAACACCAAAACCCATTTCAATTAAAATCTTTGACTTTGACTGTAATTTTTACAAGGGTAAAGTGACAAAAATACTCATAAAGTGATCAACCCAGGGCACCCAGTGTCTTAAAGTAAAAAAAGGATAAAAATACCCATAATGTTACATGAGTGAGTAAAAAAAATAATCAAACCATTAACTTTAACCTATGTCATTAACTTTGAACCGTTAATGTTGACTATGCATATCACATGTTAGCCTTTTTGACAAGGGCTAATAAAGAGGTAAAACTACCCATGAAGTCATTGGCCAAGAGAAAAATACCCATAATGTTATCAGAGTTGGTGAAAAAGTGACCAATCCATTAAATCTCTTAAATGTTGACCATTCAGCTAACACATAAGCAGAAGTTGACTATTTTTTCACTGATATGGATAAAAAATATTCTCAGATGAAATTCTCTAAAGGTTAATCAATCATGGTATAAATATCATATGAAAAAATGTCATTTTAACCTAATATCAATTAAATCGCTTGTTTCTCTGCAATAATGGTGAAAATTATTTGAAAATTTTAAACTTATCATAAATGAAATTACTTAAGGTTTGTGACAATGTTTTTAAGGTATGGCGACATAGAAGGTGTGCTCAGTCTCGATCTTTGACTGTATATAACCTATATCATTATGTTGAATTTCAGATTTTGCAAATAAGAAAAAAGAGTGGAAAGGGAGGGAGGAAAAGGGTGAAATATGTGGTGATGGAAAGAAACTATGTGGCATGGATTTTGATGGATTGATCACTATTGCATCTACTAAAGTAACATTATGAGTACTCATATAATGATCAATCAATATCCATAAAATTTCATCTGGAAATATTTTTTATCTATATCAATGAAAAAATAGTCAACTTCTACTTAAGTGTCAGCTAAATGATTAATATTTAAGGTATTTGATGAATTGGTTACTTTTGCATCAAACTTTAGTAACGTTATGAATATTTTTGCTCCTGTAGATGATTTTGTGGATATTTTGTCCCTTTATTAGTCTATATTAGTAAAGACTTATACATGACATATACAATTAATATTTAACAATCAAAATTAATAAGTTTAATCATTTTTACACTCACTTCTGTAACATTATAAGTATTTTTATTTTTTTATTTTAAAATATTAGATGTCTTTGATTAATTATTTTATGAATATTTTTGCTTTTTCACCTTTTTGACAAAAAGCCTCCAGCAACTATTTTTTGAGCGGGCAAATGTTGAAACATTTGCAAGCCCGGTTGGAACCCGCGATCTAGCTGCTTTCCCCGCTGAACCCAAGGCTCCTGGCAACTATTTGATTATATTTTGTCACCAGTGAGAAAATTGAGGATCGACTCTTTTCATTTCTCATGACCAGAACTGATGCAAAAATGAAATGACGACCGCCAGCACTGTGCACAGGTTGACTTTATCGTTTGTAAATTATGACCAAAACGGAGTCTTTGTCTTACCAACGACGCCAAAAGGAGCGGGGGAAAAAAGAAGAGGCTAAGCTTGAAGAATGGGTCGAGTACAGTCAACGGAGATAATTCAAGAATGGAAGAGAGTCAGGGGACACTTCCTCTCAATCTCTGCCGTGTCCGAAAGCTACGACTCATCATCAATCGTCTACACACCCTCCTCCATACCATTGCTTTACTTTTCTTGTTCTACTACCGAGTATGCTTCTTCTTCCAAGACCTAGAAACCGAAATAGCCCCCTTGGTGTCCTGGATTCTTGTTTTCGCATCAGAAATCCTTCTATCCTTTATCTGGATTCTGGGTCAAGCTTATCGGTGGCGTCCCGTTTCAAGAAACGTGTTCCCAGAAAGATTGCCGGAGGACGACAAGCTTCCTGCTATCGATGTGTTCATATGTACTACAGACCCAGTCAAGGAGCCCATTGTGGGTGTAATGAACACTGTACTATCAGCCATGGCTTTGGATTACCCACCACAGAAGCTTCATGTGTATCTATCGGATGATGGGGGTTCCAATTTGACTTTGCAAGGTATGAAGGAGGCTTGGAAGTTTGCCAGGTGGTGGCTTCCCTTCTGCACAAAGTACGGAGTCAAGTGTAGATGTCCCAAGGCTTTCTTTTCTGCTTTGGAGAATGAAGATGATTTTGCTGGGAGTAGCTTGTTTATTGCAGAGAAGCAAAAGATCGAGGTTTTCTGATGAAGCTCTGTTTAGTTGAATTATGGGCTATGCACGATTGCTTCTTGGTTACAAGAGTCAAACTTTTTGCAGGAAAAATATGAGGCATTTGAGGGGG